CCAGTCTCTTTAGCCTCTCTTCATATGGGACCTGTTCCCAACCCCTGATCATTTTAGTTGCCCTCCCCTCTCCCACCCTCTCTCTTCCCTTCTCCCACCTCCTTTTCCCAGTCTCCCCGAGTTTTGTTCAATAAAGAGAGATTCTATTTTTGAGCACACGTGTCCTTTATTTTGTACATCAGGAAGGGGGCTAGGGAAGGGTAAGTGGAAGGAGGTGAGGGAGGAATGGGGTACGAGCCCCCGATGGGGAGGACTGGGCTGGCTCTGTGGGCTTCTGGGGGTGGAAGCTCTCCTGCAGCCCCCCAATTGCCCCCTCTGCCCAGATGGCAGCCTGCGGCAAATGCAGCCGGTCTGATGTCCGAGTGCTGTGATGTGCCCAGTGTGGGCACTCAGGGCACTCCAAGCCAGGACTGCTTTGCAAGCGGGGCACCCCTGAGAACTGTTTGTCCGGGGTGGGGGTCGGGTCCCTTTAAGCACAGCTCTCGGCTAGCCTGAGGCAGCAGCTCCACGCTCTAAGTCCTACTCTGATGCCCAGCCGGCATTGCTTCCGGCCATCCTTAACCCCGGTTCAGGGTCCACTTAATGTGGACATGCTAGTTCGAATTAACAAAATGCTAATTCGAACTAGTTTTTTAGTCTGGATGCATTAGTTCGAATTAGCTTAGTTCGAATTAACTAATTTGAACTAATTTAGTTCGAATTAGCGCTGTAGTGTAGACATACCCTAAGATGCTATTAGACTGTTGATTTTTAAGTTTTTCTTGTTACAGACTAACTCGGCTACCCCTCTCAAGCAAATATATAGTGATGAAACTCTGAGAGGAATTGTGATTGTGAAGTATGAGGGTTTTTTTGCCATTAAAGCTGCAACCTGGGTTTCATCAGTAGATTAAGACCAACCAACCTATCCTTTACCATACATACACAAATGTCCAAATACTCCAGATAAACTCTCTGTAATGAGCAGGTGGGGGGGGGGCATTCACTGACCCCGCTGAGTAGGAACCCCTCTCAGAGCCCAGGTGGTCCAAGACAGAGCCTGCCCTTTTAAGTCCACAGAGGCCTATGGGTGGGGCAGGAAGTATAAAGCCCAGCCCAGGAATGCAGTAGGGGGCCAGCTGCTGAAGGGAGCAGAGGCCTAAGCTGTACCTTCATGCTTAAGCCCTGAGGATCTGGCAGAGGTGAACGACTGGCCCAGACTGCTAGGACCAGGCACTGAAGAGGAGACTTTCTGTGCACTATCCTCACAGGCAGAGTACCTGGACGCTGTGAACCCATCACTGATTGAGAGCCAGGTACAGATGGAGGGGGAATTTGGAAGTGGCCCAGGGGAAGCAGATGATGGTCAGCCCTTTAATGTGTGTTGGCATGTTTCAGATTGGATTCCCCACTGACCCAGTGGCCGTAGTTAGGGAGGGCCTGCATCCTCCCTGCCACTCCAATTTTGGGGTGGCTGTCTCCCCCTCCCCACTTGTGCTGGGAAAACTTTTTATTTACCTGCCCTGCCCTGAACCAGGGCCTGGGCTAAAACTGACTCTGGGAACTGTTTGTTCTCCCATCTCACCCTGAACTAGGGCCTAGGCTGTATTGACTATGGACTGGCACGAGTGTTGCAGCCTGCCCCGCCCTCTGGCCCCACTTTCTTAAAGGGGCCATTGGACTAGTAGGTATAGGTCAGATCATCAGTCAGGGGCCCAGGACTAAGCAATACCGCTTACACTCCCATCTTGGCTTTGACAAATGCTTTTTATAACACATTCTACATAGGATCTCTGCCCTTTCTTCTGGCTTCTCATACTTGGTAGGCATTGAAGACCTGAATATTTTGGTGTTATAACCCATGTTTCATCTCATCTCCTTGGCTTCCTTTCATACGTTTCATCATTCCTCTAATGGATAGATAAATTTCTGTGAAGGGATATTTATGCTTGTGAATGCTCCAGGCTTTTCTTGCTGATTTCTTGCAATTTCAAAAGTGCTGTTCATACACTCTCTGTCTTCTCAATGAATGCAGACTACAGCATATCTTCACGAACCTTCAGTCATCTACTCCCCTCATAGTAACATAGGCACTAAATAACTCAGCTCCACAGTCTATTTATGGAAAGAAAAAAGCCTTCTCTGTGGGACATCAGTGTCAGTTTTTCATGTGGTTTTCAAATGTCATTTTCTTGGCATAAATGTTGCTGTAATTAAGTATTCTCCATGCAGCAAAATTGATTCTCCATTCTGCAGTTTGTAAACTTAAGCATTTCTTTGTGAATCCCCTGTTCATCTGCAAAGCAGTGTGCCTGTTTCACTCAGCATGCTTTATTTTTATATTACCAATAGGAGCTGCTTGTTTAAGAGAAGTGAAAGTATTGAAATAGTACATGGGTTGTCATATTAATTCTATCCTAATTACATTGTTGGCATCCAATTGATTCATGTTCATTCTAAAACTTATGTTAGTACTAATAATTCCCTTGTAGGTAAGGAAATGAATCAGCTGAGAGGGTGTATGGATAATGCTTGCACATATCTATCCAAGAATAAATACTATGTCCTTTTAATTTATATACTTTATATAGCCATCTTCACAGATATCGTATAGATAGATAAGGTATTAAAAAATGTATGTGTACTCATTACTTGCTTTCAGTATTTTTGGGTATGCAAAGAATACAGGATTAGCCCCAGATAAATATTGTATCAGAATATGACTCCTGTTTAGTATCAGTGGAGGGTATTGCAGTCAGGTGCAGGGTGTTATTTTTTCAGTATCTTTATATGACTATGGGCAAAATAAATGAGTCAAATTTAGCCTGAAGTAACTAGGGGCAACTCTCATGGAAGTTAGATTCAGTACTGATGTAAACCACAATGAAACTATTTCACAGTGTTCCCATTAGCTGGTCTCACTTTTCCACTCCCACGTCTGTCCCTTTGTGTAACTCTTTTTGCATTATTTCCACCGTTTTGGAGCAGCTTACATTTCCACTTACATCCCTGCAGAATTTGGACCCTTGGGCTGTGGGCTTACCAAATCTCAGAAGCATTGAACTCGGGCAGTCTTGGGATGGAAGCACTCCACAGACACCAACATGGAGGCGGATGTGATACTCCAGCAGGTGGGACTTCTCCCTGAGAGTTGGCAATGAAGCAATCTGTGTTAGTAGGCAATGAGCTGTCGCCGGTGCTGTCCTTCAAAGGCGTTGTCCAATGGAGGCTGTGACCACACAGTTCTATCAGAAAAAGATATGCAAATTTCAAACTACAATTTGCATATCTTTTTCCGATTCTTTTTTCGGAAGAGGCTTTTCGAACATTTGGCCCATCTACAATGGGCCAAATGTCAGAAAAAAACTCTTTCAGAACATCCCTTCTTCCTCGTAAAAACGGGATTTACAGGGATGCCAAAAAAACACGTCTGCTTTTCTGAAATTTTTTTCAGCAAAGCAGATGCATTTCTTGGATGCGGCAGTTTTTCTGGGATATATCCCGGAAAAACTGCAGTCTAGATGTAGCCGGAGATGCTGTTATATACCCGTTATATAGTGGAAATTCTATAATGTTTTTGTAAGAGTTATCAAATTAGCTCTAGTGTCGTTGTTACCTTGTGTTGACAGATAAGTATTGTCGCTCCCCAGAAACTGACATTTCAATAGTAAATGAAGTGGGATTCTTATATGGGGTGTAGTCACTTTATAAGGTGTCGAAAATTTTGTTTAATGGTTTTATGTTTTATGTAAAATGTTTTGAGACTTGGGAGAAAAGGTGCCGTAGAAATGTAAAGTATGGCATAGTTGTTTTTTTAAAAAAAATGTATAATAAAGGGGTCAGTCTAAGTTACTTGAAATTATTTCCCTGCCACCACATCTTTGTTCTGAAAAATGGCATTTAGAAATAGTTGTGATTACTTCATTTGCTTGAAAAGGAAAATAATTGGGAGACAGGTTAAAAGATGGGATTCAGGGGCTGTCAAAGGAATGTTGCTTTAGTATTACAATGATTTCCTTCACTGTGGTGTCTGTAATACTAAAAAGATTAACAATTAGAGATACTCAAATTTTGGGGGAGAAACAGCACCCCTTTAAAGACTGACCTGGTCCAATTTAGTCAGGAAAAGAGAGTGTTACTGCACACAAGCAGCCAGTTTTGATGTCTGTTTTCTTAGGTGTCCCTTTACTTCATTTTATTCTTCTCATTATTGCTTGTCTTCTGTCATTTTGAGGGTTTTTTTTATGAAATATAGGTACACAACCTGACTGTGTACCTTGAAGGGAATCAGTGTTTTCTCATTTTTCTACATTAATCTAGATGTCTGGTGGACTCATTTCTGTTAATTCCATCACTCTGCTCAGTCTGCTTTGGACACGGACATACTCACTCACTCACTTGGCTTCATAGACCATGAAGGAGAAATAACACCTAAAACACTTACAAGTTGTCTACTTGCAGTTGGCAGCATGATTGGGAATCCTCGCAGGAAAGCCAATATTATGAATGTGAATCAGTTTCCCTTCTGCGCTGAGAAACAAAAGGGCTCCTTTGGTCTGTTGCCCCCTTATTTCAAGAATTCTGGATATGGGAATCAAAATTAGACTTGGATTGGATTTCAAAACATTTTAAAAATGCCAGCTGGTGATACTTCAATGGAAAAAGTATAAGCCACTTGCTATACTACATCCCAATTCACATGAGAGATTCAATGAGATCTAGGAATCACTATGAAACATACTAGTTTTAAAAAATCAGATGTGGAAGGATTAGCAGGAAAGAGAGAAGAAAGGGAAGTGTTTCTATTAGCCCAGGTATGACTGCAACCAGATCCAAATACATAATGGAAAACAGAGGGAAGGGGGGGGGAAACCCTTCCATTAAAGTATAAGCTCTTTGTAAATGGAAAACATCAGCCATTGTTTGGTCTTGCCTGCTTGCCAATCAGCAAGGAAAGCTGACTGCCAGTAAGGAATGATTATAGCTTTAGTTCCATGATTGCTCCTCCTAGCTGAGAGCTCTCATTAGGAGGAATATTACTATTCCATCCTTTCCTGAAGCTCTGTAGGATGCTACTTGAGTTTAAAAAAAAAAACTGAAGGGGGGAATCTGAGAATTCAGTCTGAAAGGTTCTGTGGTAGTTCTGTTCTTTTTAATTCAGTACTTTCAAAAATGCCTTGAAGATTTTCTTCAATCTCCCTAACTTTTCTAACAAACCATTAAAACTAATCCTGCTTGTAGGCTTGTGAAGCTCTGTGGGTGGGGAAACCAATTACATCAATATTTTATTTTTAAAAATAGCTTGCATTTTTCCTCCATTGAGACCTGTTATATTTCCAGCAGCATTCATTACAATAGAGTACTGTTAAATACACCATTGGCATACAATCAGCTACCATTTATTTTACTGTTGAGTGATTTGTTACAGTAGATAGAAACCATTCAATATCACTGACAAACAACAGACCCTGTATAACCCAGAATTACTGTTAGACTACTTTTTTTTGTAATGAATGGAGGCTTATTGCCAGTTTTGTTGTCTTGGGAGAGCCAGGCAAAATTGTGCAAGGTAGAGGAAAAAAATAGTTATTTTTGCAATGCAATTTGGTCTAATTACTGCTGACTCTTCAGAGAATTGTCAATGACCTTCATCAGGGATGGCGAAACAGCTGCCTGTCACCTGGAGAATCATCCACAAACTAAAAGAGACAGCTATTTTTTCCACCTGAGAATATGTCTTCCAGAAATAGAATCCTACTGATCAAATCATCTTGTTAATAAATTTAATATATTTTGCAGTAACAATATTTTCTATTATCTCTAATTATTTTAGGAACCATTATTCTCCACCCCATGTTTAGTCAAATATCTTTCCTTCTGTCAATAAATTAGAGCCATCTCTTTCTCATTACCTAGTTAGGGTTCAGTTCTCCGTGTGGGTATGGTAGTTATCTGGAAATTAATTTCTCAGGTTGGATCAAGCATTTCTCATTTCCCCCTAACAACTCTGTATAAAACAAATGACACTGTGCACTTCTCTGCAGCTGAATTAGCAGTGGCATGTGTGCAGCTATGCACACTTTGCACATGTGTCAAGGGTTTTTTGACTTGTTATGAATAACAAGCATTAGTTGCCTGATGAGGTGGGGAGATACCATGTAGCAACAGACTCTTCTATATAGTATCTCTACAAGGCTCTTATAAAATAGGGGCCGTAGTGCTCTTGTCTCCCACTCAAACACATGCACATCCAGGCTACGTCTGGATTGCATCCCTTTTTCGTAAAAGGGATGCAAATTAGACATATCGCAATTGCTAATGAAGTGGGATTTAAATCTCCCCTGCTTCATGAGCATAAAAATGGCTGCCTCTTTTTTTCGGCACGGAGCTTTGCGGATCTTGTGGAAAATAAAGCCTTTTCTGAAGGCTTAGGGATAAGGGATCTTTTGGAAAAGTCTTTATTTTCCGCAAGATCCGCGTCTAGACTGGCACTTTTTTCTGGCAAAGCTCCAATCTAGACGTAGCCCCCAGTGTTTCACTAGTGCTAATTCTTCTCCAGACTTCTCTATTCTAATTTTAAAGGAGATGCTTTTGGAAAGATTTAATCTTCCATTGGAGGTTATCTTAACATTAAACACCTGTACACAAGCATCTTCCATAAGCTCCTTAAATTTTGCTGTCTTTGTAAGTGTCCATTGAGAGAGAGTGTCTAATTCACCCCAAAGGTCAATAATATCCAGGTATCTTACAAATGGGTTCACTTTAGACAAATGATGGACCTTCTCACTTTAGATTAAAGGAGAGATGCAGCAATCATTGACAAAGCCCATCTTTGAAGGTACTGTGGCCATGATTACTTTATTGAAAGGAAAAGCAATATGTGGCTGGGAGTAATATTACTTTCCTTACAAGAATGGAAAGGTATACCAGTTATTCTAAATACAGACATACCTAAATATTCAGTTGAATACAGTTTATTAATTCACAATCTTTGTAGAGAACGTGGCTCCTCTATAGAAACTAGTTGAATGAAAGTTTTTCCTCACAATGATTTTTTGTGCCCTTTTTTAAAAGACACTGACTATAACTATTTCTGTTAAACACTAATTGTGATTAGAACCAGGACAGCATTCAGGTTGTCAAGAATTGCAGATCAAATGGAAGACCTCAGGAATACTCAGCTAACATGAACACTGTCCGTAAATAAAAGCTCTTAAGGAATCAGTATTAAATCTCTTTCAGCTTCTTTTTAAGAGGAATACTTACATTTGATTAAATAAACAGTTTAATTATCCAGTAACTATAGAAATGCTGAAATAGTCCATTATAAACAAGACTCATTTGTTACCTGGGAACAATAATGCTATTTCAGATTCTTGGAAAAAGAAAACAAATATCTTAATTGGAAACTACAAATGCAATGTAGCTGATCTGGAAGGTGACCTTGTTAACTCCTCTAGCACCTGATTCTTTGGGAGCATGTGGTAGATTACTTCATCTGGACTGGATGACTTGCTGAATATGTTGCTGAATTGTGTTCCAAAGTGAACAGGGGAGTTTGAGAAGGAGTATGTAAGAGGGAGTCCTAATATGGTTAGGAAGACCCACATCACCTGTGTCATCACTGCTCCTGTGTCTCAGGAAGCAGGTGGGAGAGCTACAGGTGGCTAGGTTGAGGAGCATCCATGCCTGTGAGGGATTCTTTGAGAGTATTCATGTGGTGATAGTTAAGGTGGAGGAAGCTATCCAGCTACAAAGGATTGCTGGCACACCACTGGTGGGGGAAGAGATGGCTCTGTCTCTGCTGGTTACTTTTGGCAGCAGGCAGTACTCCAGCCCTACTCTACACCCTCTCACTGTGGTTCTGGAGAACTATTATGCTGCCCTGGATATGAGAGAGATGGAATCACACCCTAAGGTGGAGGAAGAGAAGCCATGTATCCTCAAGGATGGGAGGTCTACAGATTATCACTGCAAGGAAGAAATGTAGGGTAATGGTAGCTGGAGACTTTTCTGAGGGGCATGGAGGCACTCATCTGTTGCCCTGACATGACATCCTGGGAGGTATGCTGCCTGTCAGGAGCTGGGACCAAGACTTTACAGAGGGATTGTCAAGGATTATCTGGCCTTTGACTACTACCCTATATTAATCATCCATGTGGGCACTAGTGATACTGCAAGGTGTGACCTTGAGCAGATCAAAAGTGACTACAGAGCTCTTGGCGTACAGGTGAAGGAGTTTGGAGTGCAGGTGGTGTTCTCTTCATTCCTTCTGGTCAAAGGTAGGAGCCCAGGCAGAGACAGGTGCATCCTGGCGGTGAATACCTGGCTGCGAAGATGGTGGTGCCAAGGGGGGTTTGGTTTCCTTGATCATGGGATGCTGTTCCAGAAAGAAGGACTGCTAAGCAGGGATGGGGTTCTCCCAATGAGGAAGGGGAGAAAGTATTTATATACTGCCTGGAGGGCTTTAAACTAGGTTTAACAGAGGGCATGTGATCAAAGCCCATAGGTAAGTGAAAAACATGGAGACCTGGGAGATAGGTCAGAAATGGGAGGCAGCAAGGCCTATAATAGCAGAGACAAAGGAGGGACAAGGCAGTGTTGAGGGTGAAGGACATTATCTGTTTGAAAGTTATAATTTATGTAAAGTGAATTGTTCTCGGCTTAGGTTCTGTAAATTCTCCTTATGGTTCCCCCTTCCTGAATGAATGCATGGTGTGTCTGTGAAATAAACATGCAGAGGGTGATGAACTTTTACTCACCTGAACTTGAGTGCACATGGTTCCCTGCACAGAGTGCACATGGCCCCCTGCAGTGCACACGGCCCAGAGAGGACATTGAGGAAGGCCTATAGACCTGTAACATCATGGCCAAACTGCTCATGGCCTGTAACATCGTCGATCCAACGAAGAGAGAGAGAACCCGAAAGGGGATCACCAAGCAGGACCTTCCAAGGGTGACCTCTGCTGGGATCATCTGGCCAACGAACCGGTTCCGGGGTCATCATGGGAAGATACCAACAGCATGAATCTCAGCATGAACTCCTGGTGCCTGACGCTCAGCCTGTATTTCGTCGGACTGTAAGTGTGATTGCAGATAGTGAGAGTGAGCTTCCCTTTTCCCCTCCTTTCAGAGTAGGTTAAAGCAATTAAAGCCATTTGTGCTCATTACCTCGTGGTCACAATCCTTGTTAGGCCATGGTTAGTTGCAATTGAACTCGAATTGCCTGGGGTTCCTTATTCCTTTCCCCTCCACCGCTTGCAAGAGGCAGAAGTGTGTGTGGGGGGGGAGGGAAAAATCAAATCAGTGTCTTAGTTGTCTGCATAGAAATGCAAGAAGTAAGGGGAATACACAGGAAGAATTAGAAGTGCTAGTAAATAAACACAACTATGACATATTTGGTATCACAGAGACTTGGTGGGATAATACACATGACTGGAATATTGGTATAGAAGGGTACAGCTTGTTCAGGAGGGTTAGGTAGGGAAAAAAGAGGAGGTGTTGCTTTTATGCATTAAAAATGTATACACTTAGACTGAAGTTGAGATGAACATAGGAGATAGCTGTGTAGAGAGTCTCTGGGTTAAGCTAAAAGGGGTAAAAAACAAGGGTAATGTCATGCTAGGGGTCTACTTCAGGTCACGTACCCAGGCAGAAGAAGTGGATGAGGCTTTTTTTTTAACTAAGAAAATCATCCAAAGCACAGGACTTGTTGGTGATGGGGGACTTTAACTATCCTGACATCTGCTGGGAAACTAACACAGTGGGGCACAGATTATCGAACAAGTTCTCAGAATGCATTGGAAACAACTTTTTATTTCAGAAGGTTGAGAATGCTACTGTGGGGGAAGCTGTTCTAGATTTGATTTTAACAAATAGGGAGGAACTGGTTGAGATTTTCCAAGTGGAAGGCAGCTTGGGTGAAAATGATCATGAAATCATAGAGTTCTTGATTCTAAAGGATGGTAGAAGGAATGAGCTCAATCTAACTAAAGGATAACAAGAAAACATTCTACAAATATATTAGAAGTAAAAGGAAAACCAAATAGAGTATGTCTATACTGCTACCCTACTTCGAACTAGGGTGGCTAATGTAGGCATTTGAACTTGCAAATGAAGCCCGGGTGGGCGCCATTTCTAAATGCCCTGTCATTTGAACTACCTGCCTGCAACTGCCCGCGGCTACACACGGCATGGACTAGGTAATTTGAATTAAAGCATACATAGTAGACCCATTGTTCAATGAAGAAACAACAGAAAATTTGGAAATGGCAACAATGCTTAAAAATGTCTGTTTTAGTTTTCACCTAGGAGGTTGGTAGTGACTGTATGCCTAACGTAGTGAATGCCAGTGGAAATGGGGTAGGTTTAGATGTTCAAATAGGAAAAGAACAAGTTAAACATTACTTAAAGAAGTTAGATGTCTTAAAGTCACCAGGGCCTAATGAAAGGCATCCTAGAATATTCAAGGCACTGATAGCAAAGGTATCTGAGCCTTTAGCTATCATCTTTGAAAAGTCACAGAAGTTGGGAGAGATTCAGAAGACTGGAAAAGGGCAAATATAGTGCCCTTTCAATAAAAAGGGGAAATGAGAACAACCCAGGAAACTGCAGAAGTCAGCATAACTTCTGTTCCAGGCAAGACAATGGAGCAAATAATTAAGGAATGCATCTGCAAACATCTGGAAGATAATACAATTATAGAAACAGCCAGCATGAATTTGTAAAGAACAAATCATGTCAAACCAATCTGATAGCTTTCTTTGACAGGAAAACAAGTCTTCCGGATAAGAGGGAAGCAATAGACGTGGTATACTTAAACTTTAGTAAAGCATATGGTACAGTCTCACATGACCTTCTTATCAATAACGTAAGGAAATAAAACCTAAATGGGGCTACTATATGGTGGGTACATAACTGGCTGGACACTAGTAATCAATGGTTCTCAGTCACACTGGAAGGGCTTAATAAGTGGCGTTCTTCAGGGTTCAGTTTAGGGACTGGTTCTGTTTAATATCTTCATCAAAAATTTAGATATTGGCATAGAGAGTGAATTTACTAATTTTGCAGATGATTCCAAGCTGGGAGGGGTTGCAAGTGCTTGGGAAGATAGGGTCAGAATTCAAAATGGTCTGGACAAACTGGAGAAGTTGTCTGAGGTAAATAGCATGAAGTTCAATAAGGACAAATGCAAAGTACTCCACTTAGGGAGGAACAATCAGTTTCACATATAGAAAATGAGAAGTGACGATCTAGGAAAAAGTATTGCAGAAAGGGATCTAGGGGTCATAATGGACCACATGCTAAATATGAGTCAACAGTGTGACACTGTTGCAAAAAAAAAAAACATGATTTTGGAGTGTTGACAGGAATATTGTGAGCAAAACACAAGAAGTCATTCTTCTGCTCTACTCTGTGCTGATTAGGCCTCAGTTGGAGGACTATGTGCAGTTGTGAGTACTACATTTCGAGAAACCTGGAGAAACTGGAGAGGGTCCAGAAAAGAGCAACAAAAATGATTAAAAGTCTAGAGAACATGACCTATGCAGGAAGACTGAAAAGTGGGTTTGTTTAGTTTAGAGAAGAGAAGACTGAGAGGGGACATGATAACAGTTTTAAAGTATCTAAAAGCATGTTACACTGAGGGAGAAAAATCTTTCTCCTTGACCTCTGATGATAGGACAAGAAACAATAGGTTTAAATTGCAGCAAGGGAGGTTTAGGTTGGACATTAGGAAAAACTTCCTAACTGTCAAGGTGATTAAACATTGTCATCATTTGCCTAGGGAGGCTGTAGATTCTCCATCATTGAAGATATTTAAGAGCGGGTTAGATAAACATATATCAGGAATGATCTGGATGGTATTTGGTACTGCTTTGAGGGTAGGGAACTGGACTTTACCTCTCAAGGTCTCTTCCAGTTCTAGTATTCTATTCTGTTTTTCTGGGTTATTTCTGTTAAGTGTTGAGTACCTCAGCTTTCATTGAACTCACTGTGAGTTGAGGGCACTCAGCACCTCTCAGGATCAGATCTTTACTACCTAGTGAAATTTTGAATTATGCTTTTGAAATACATGGCCAAAATATATTTTTGAAAACGTTTTCTCTCCAAGGCTGTGTCTAGACTGCAGAGTTTTTTCGAAAAAAGCAGCCTTTTTTCGAAAAACTTCACCTGCATCTAGACTACAGCCACGTTTTTTCGAAGTTAAATCGAAAGAACGCTGCTTTTCTTTCTACGGCGGTACTCCTCATTTCACAAGGAAGAACGCCTTTTTTCAAAAGTGCTCTTTCGAAAAAAGGCGTTCTTGAATGCAAACAGGACTTTTTCTAAAGAGAGCATCCAGACTGCCTGGGTGCTCTCTTTTGAAAAAGCGGCTCACTTTTTTGAAAGAAGAGATTGCAGTCTATATGCTCTTTTTCGAAAGTATCTTTCGAAAGAGGCTTGCAGTCATGATTCAGGGATTTAAAGAAGCTTTATTATGGTAGTGTCCTTTTGATTAAATAAACTAAGTGCCTAACAAAATAGGGTGTATCTAGACTACAGAGTTTTGTCGACAAAAGTGGACTTTTGTCGACAAAACTATACCTGCGTCTACACTACCGCTGAGTTCTTAGATCATTGGTGATTCCTTCTCCCTATTTTGTGGCTGTTAACATTGTGTGCAGTAGAACAATGGAAGGATCAAGATGAAAGATCAGGGCTATATGGGTACGTCTAGACTACAGGGTTTTGTCGACAGAAGTTTTGTCAACAGATACTGTCGACAAAACCCTGTAGTCTAGACGTACCCATATAGCCCTGATCTTTCATCTTGATCCTTCCATTGTTCTACTGCACACAATGTTAACAGCCACAAAATAGGGAGAAGGAATCACCAATGATCTAAGTTTCAAAGCCACATACCGGCTTTATGCCTTTGATGAAGATAATACTTTTCAATTCACTTTTCCTTTAGGATATGGAAGTCTTTTGCCAATTGAAGATTAGAATTAAGAACAATGATAACCACTTAAAGTCACAAAACCAGAGCTTTCAATAAAAATTCAGTCACAGCTTTAATACCAGGAGTCTTCAGGGATATGTGACAACCTAGAAGGATAATGCTGCCTTAACTAAAATAAAAATTCATAGGCACTGTGCATAGCCTGAGGCTTGGACAGTTAACTGCTGCGCCTCAATGGGAAAAATAAAGAGACTGTACCTAAAATGTTGTTAAATACCTTTAGCTCTTAACTTAAAATCCCACTGGCATAGTAACTAAAATAAAGTATGAAAGGATTTCATCTTTGAATCCCTGCTGGACAGCATGTATTCTTCTATGAAATATTGATGGAGTTTAAGCTTGAGGCACAGAGAAAACCATTCGAACTGTAAATGGTGGCAATTGTCTGTCAAAATATCTGTCATTTGCAATGATGTTGTAGCCATGTTTGTCCCAGGATATGAGAGAAGGTGGGTGAGGTAGTATTGGCCCTCTGTTGATGAGAGAAGTTTTCAAGATCCACAGACCTTAAATTCAACATTGCGGTAAAAAAAAGACACATTCACCAAACAATAAAATTATACAAGGTTATGAGTTATAAATTATTTTATGTGCATTCTGGGGATCGAACCTGGGACCTTCAGAACCAAAAAGTGTAAGCCTCTACCATAGGAAATAACTCTGGAAGGGAGAAATAAGTAACAGATTTCATCTTTGCTGTGACTAGCTAGCAGTAGGGAAACAGAAAGCCAATGTATAGCAATAATACTTCAAGAATGAAGGTTATTAGAGAAGTTAAAATGACTACATGAAATGAAATAATAATCGTGTTTGGTAAATAGCCTTTCAGGAGCTGCTGGGTGCTGCACAAACATTTCAGCATAATTAATAATCTCCTAAAGTAAGCAGTATATTGGGTCAGATTATCTTTTTGAGAAGAGACCCACATGTAAGGGGCAGGAAATCCCGAACTTTATTGTTATATTTACTTTTTTCTGCTCTAGGAGCGTGGGAGGTAGATATCACATGCAACATCGGAATAGGGTCTATACTCTCAAACTTGTGTATGTGCTTAGTATAAATGCAGGCTACAATAAATCTGTAGGGCATTAGTCATCTGCTTGAACCCTTTCAGCCTCCTTAGTGGGCTTTCAGCCCAACCTTGCTCCTAGGTTAGCACAAATCAGA